CAAGACTAGTGTTAAACAGTGTCAGATGTTTCATAAAGCCATGGTAAGTATTTGTGATGGTATCTGGACGACCAAGAAGGAAATTATCATTGCTTGTTATAGATGGAGTTGGAGTCATTGCGTTCACCAATGGTTTCTGTCCACGTACGAGATATTTGGCTACACCTACAGATTTGTTCCAACTTAAAGCAACAAAGGTCCAATCATTGTATTCCATCCTGTTTTAAGATAGAAAAAGATGAGGTCAAATGAAAATGGGATTGTGCCATGTACGTCAACATAAACATGCGGTAGTCATGAATGAAGTGTTTTTTGTTGTATATTAACGCACATGCGAGCTCAGATATTAMAGTTGTAAGCCAATGAGGTCGCAGAAGCTGTCCTTCGTTTAGCAGCCATATATGGTAATCTTATACTACCTTATTTGGAAGTATGATAGGACTGGTTTTTGGTGTTATCGTCAACTTTTAAAGCATAAAATCGTCTGAAACTTGCAGATATTATAGCGAAAACAATTCTCAACAATCGACCATTTTGTTTGTATCCATATATGGCATGGATTTGCTAAAGGAAGCCCGAACTAAAAATCACAGGGATCCCGCACGAATGACATATACAATTAATTCTTTGATTAGTCAATTCAAGTCATGGAATTTAGGATCTAGAGTTTGGAGAATCGGGATCACATAACTTGATAGACGGGATCACGATCTATTGACAAAGAGTACGCAGATCAATATCTTACCTCCGACGCCCAACATATTCCTCCATGATACGTGCTGCACAAAGTATTTTTGTGCTTGATTCTGTGCGAAATTGGATTCGTAGTTTTRAATCCTCGTGCGAACGAATTTCAAGTGTTGTTTGAAATTTCTGCGTGTAGACAGTAACAGCCTTTGCCCAAAATGCCACTGTAAATCCCTCAGGGTTAAGAGAAACAGCAGGTACGGTGGCGTGATTACCTATTGTTCCATTAAAGTACAAAGCTATTTCCTGGTCATCGTAAACGTACTTAACAGCACCCGACTCGTTTCCAACAAACCTGTTTGTAAAAAAATCCATCAACCTTTAGTCAAGGCGGTTTAAAGGAATGGACTATTTGCTGGTRATAAAATTAATAAATTTAAAGAAAAATTCTTACTTGACCGATTGTTCAGTCCCATCTAATTTCCAGTGGATGTAAGGAATTCCCACATCTGGTTCATCTGAAGATACACAGCAAATTTAAGACTATTGAGGCCGTGGAACAAACCGTTTTTCCCTGCTTTTAAAGAATTTCGGGGACATTTAATTTCTCTCCTATACATTGTCTTTAGCTCCCAGTATAATTTCTCTGCCATCACAAGGAATTTTTAGATGTTTTAAAAGGCATTCTCTCTTCCTCCATCCTCAGATTAGTGTTGCTCCTTAAACTACAGGAAGAGCCGACGGGGTTTGTTCTTCTAAATAACTCGTGTTCTTAACCTTGTACGATTTTTTTTCCTGGGAAAGGGATTTTGAACTAAATTGTTTACAATCTCGAGCAAATGCGGTGGCGCCCTTCCTTCTTTAAATTAATTTTGTTCCTGGCAAATGCTTTTAAGATCAAAAAAGGCTTATATGACGTTGTTATGGTCAAAGGTTTTTATTTTCCTGGCAGAAATTCTTAGAAAGTATTCCTTGCTTGGAGAGTTCTTTTTTCCTGAATTTCTCGCTGGCAACCAGTTGTGACTTACAGCTGGCTGGGACATAAGAACAGATATATTTCTCCCAGGAACCTGTCGGCTCCTCCTAAAACTACAGGTATGATTACTTTCACTGACTGGACACATTGGCACGCGGTGTTAAAATGATTACCTTGCCTAAGATACGTCAGGTTTAACTGATTAATAAACACATCGTTTACAAAGTCGTTCTCATGTGCGCTGGTAATGGACTGAAGATCACCACCCATCGACTGGCAATGCCTGCGAGCATCTGTCCAGTTTTTCTTTTCTGTGAAAAGTTTTAGAGCAGTATCTCCATAGCGATACCAGCCATCACCTAGATCTGCAATGACGTGAAAACAGCTTGATAAATAAAATCAGTTCGAAACTACATTTCCTAGAAAACTCCATGTCTGATCGCTCTTACTTACCCTCTTTCCTTTTACAATCGTAGATTTTGCAGTTGATGGAGTTGGTTATGCCCTAATTATTAAAATTATTTAGATAGTTATTGCGAGTTACTACTCCTCTTGAAATGTATTGCGCAATGCAATGCTGCGGCGCTCGCGGGATTCCTGTGTTTTTAAAGACCTTATTTGGAGGACGAAGGACAATGAAGGCCAGGTTTCTAAGAATGCATGACTGCTGTTTTTTGACGTACTAAAGTTCAAGAGGTGATTAAGAAATGTTTTCTTCTTCATTTTGAATAAGGTATGGTTATCATAAAGATATATTTATGCAATAATTATTCATTATTTGAAATATTAAATCTGAAATAGTGCAAACGCTACAACCAAAATACTTTACTACTAAAAGTTTATGCTGAATTATGGAAATTTCTTTGTTTTGTAAAAGCTTATTGTTTATAAGCTTAATTCAACATCATTTAGCACTGTTTAGTAGTGTTTTGGTTAGTACTTTTTCAACACTTTTCATATCATTATTGGACCCAAGGCCAGATAGTGATTCYACTCTAGACAAATATCTTGGCAAACTCATCTTTGTCATGTCATGTTATCAAATAAAATAAAATGACCAAGCATGATGTACATTATTGTGAATATGATAAAGGATGGTGATGTCTGAATAGTAGAATAATAATAATTATTAATAATGACGTGATATAAGTGCATTTTTTGCCCTCTTGAATGTGCATGGTTCATAGTCATTACAGCTACCTTCATTTCATGGTATGACCATCCTTTCTTGGACACCATCTTGATTGAATTGGCTTTCTTACTCGAATTATTCAACTCACATTCAAACAATTCATTGTTGTTTTTGTGTACATTGATTGAGAAGCACCATGACAACCAAACACACTCCCCCCAGCACAAACTGACCTGGGCCCTAGTTATGCTTTTGATCACATGACCTTGAAGTACCGTATCATTGGTTGGAAAGAAGTTGTACATTTCACAGCTTAAGACAGCTTGTAGACATGTCATAAGGACCATCACTATCAAAATAGTGTTCACTGCTTTCATGTTGAATATC